ATTCGATTTTTTTTTCTATAGAATAAATTTCATTATTATATATTGATATTAATTTTGATGAAATTATTTATTAAAAATATATTCTTCTTTAGACAATAATTATAAAATTTTAATCATGAAAATGATTGATTATTTTCTTATTATTATTTAATAATATTTAAAAAGAAAAAGATCACTTTCTATTTCGCATTAAATTAAAATATATATATTGAAATATAGTTAGAAACCTTTTTAAATAAATTTAATTATAATATAAACATTGAAAGAGCTTTTTATCTGAGTAATATGTCTTTGTTGCTTAATAAAACAAATAAAATAAGGTGAGAACGGAAGAAATTCGTAAATTTATTTTCATGTCATTTGAGAGAGAAAAAGAAAAAAAAATCCATGAAGGACACCGTTGAAACGTATTTGGACATTAGTTTTTTTTTTTTATTGACATTCAATGAATATGATTTTATTGAGAAATAAAAAGAAATGATCAAATTAATATCATTATTATTATTTATATATATATCAGGTGTGTTCTTGTTTATTTAAATATTTTAATAAATAAATAAATAATTGTTAATTTAGTATTGATATCATTAACAAATGGAAGAACGTGCATAATATGTTCTAGTGAATCAAATCCAGCTTGTGCTGATCCATTTGATTCATCAAATGCATCATTTATACAATTATCAGGTTATATTTATTGTCAAGTAAGTTATTAAATAATGATAATCAATATTAAAGTTTAAATAAATAGAAAAATGTTTATTCAAATGGTCTTATAACTCGATTTGGTGGTTCAACTTGTTCAATATCAGATATTCGTGGTATTACAACTGTTTATTGTTGTTCCAATCTCGACAGTTGTAATTATGGTCAAAAAACTGGATCATCCTTATTTATCAACATATCATTTATCATAAATATTTTCTTTTTTAAGATAATTATATCTCAGTGAGCTATTTAAAGAAAAAAAAAAATTTTTTTTTGTTATAATTTAGTCAATAAGAAAAAGAAAAAAAACATTTTTTAAGATTATTTTTTGTTGCTAAGAGAGAGAACGATTCGAATATTAAAATAACGTTCTTGTTCAACTTCATATGAAAATTCTTTCTCCTGTTTATTTAATCAAGAATGAGAAAAGATGGTTACCGTCGAATAGAACAAAAAAAAAAAAACAAGAGAAAATCGAAATCTTCTACAAAGCATATATCTGATATATTTTTTGTGTCTCTTATTCAAGATTCGAATAAATTATAGAAGAAAAAAAATTGAATATTAGAAATAAAAAGAGAAGGAGAAGATTGATTATTTTCCTGCTTATTTCCATAGGGATTTATTTCTAGTTCTAATCAATATCTTTATCTTAAATTAATATCTTCATTTTAAATATTAACAAATAAATTTATTATTTTGAAAGTTAATAGATTAATTAAATAAGATGAAACAATCAAAAACAAAAAGATCTTACAAATAAACATTTCAACAAGAAAAGAAAATTGCTTCTCTTTAACACTTAATCGATATTATTTTTGTGTTTGTTGGAATTTTTTGAGCTAATAATTGTTTGATAATTGTTTAAATATCTATTGTTGTTTATTATTTAAAAAGATAATTCTTCAATTCGTTAACAACGAGTATATTATCTATGTAGGTAAATAAACAATAAATTGTTCTTAGATTTAATTATATTTTTTCATTTCTAACATCATTACGTTAACCAATTCGAAAGACAGTTTATGGTAAGTATATTATCATCGTTGAGAGATATTTGTTTGATAATTGTGTATTTTTATTTCAAAATAACTATCTTAACATTGGTTGATTAGAATTCAAGATTATATTCTCTATAATCATGTTATATTAATCTCTAAGACCAACTTTAAATTTCGATAAAATAAAAAATATATTTTAAAAATTAAAAAATATTCGAATAAACAAGTTATATAGAGTATAGTTATGGTCAATATTATCATTCCTGATTGATAATCATCATTTAGTTCTCTATATAAGATAAATAATAGTTATTTTATTTTTATATTTATTCGTTAATCACCTTTATTTATAGAATAATCAATATATTTTCACTTTTTTTTCAATTTTTCTTATAATAAAAACCTTTTTATATTTATCCTTTTCATTTAAACAAAAGTATTCAGAGATATAATAGATATTAGATCAAAATAAAATTTCTTTCCAGAATACCGAAAATTTAAACAATTTAAACTAATCAAAGAAAATAATGTGAAAAAAATGCACAATTATTTAGCATATTTACGAATAAGAACAACTCTTTCGGTTTATTCAAGTGTATATTCAAATAGATAATAAAAAATAAGATAAATTTCGATCTATTTTAGAAAGAAGACAAGTCTGAGTATAGAGTAGTTTACCTTTAAAAAAAGATCTTCATTTATTAGATGATCATCAATTAACATGTTAATCAATTCAACGATTGATTTTACGCATTGAAATAGACTTGTTATTCTATAATTAACTAGAGACTATTCAATAACTGATATTAAATATATTTTCAAGAATCTAATTAGAATATTAGAATTTATTAAAAGAGTTTTGAAAAAAAACTAAGCTGATATTTATAAATCTAATACCATCGACTCAATATTACAAGCTGTATTTTAGTTTAGTCAAATATCGAAGAAAATCTTTCTAGGTTATTTGAGAATAGATCTTATTGATCGTTATTCTTTCCTATTTTTATAGATAAACTATTCTTTTTAAATGTGCTCCTCTTTCAATTAATCTTCGTTTAAATATTTCGAAAAAGTTGTGAAAATCTTGATAATACATTATCCTTTTTGTTAAATAGAAAATCTGAGAGAGATTTCTCATCTTATTTAAAGAGAGTTAATTAAATAATATTTATTTAAACTTCTAAAAAGACTTATCGTTTTTATAAATAAGAGTCAATTTATAAAAATAACAATCAATAATAAAGAAAAATATAAATTATTTGAAATTTTTAATAAAATAATTAAACGTATAACGAATGATTATATGAAATATATAATAATAGATAAACGATGAGTAAGAAAAAAAGAAAAAAAATATATTTATTGATCTTAATCTGACCTTCTATATTTGTTGATTCTAGAGAGAGTTTATCTATTTTAAATAATTTATCTATTTTAAATAAGATTGAATAAATTATTTGATTAATTATAAAAATAATTCAATTAAATAATAAAATAACATAATTATGTTTGTTATATTATCCTTGTCAAAATTTTATTTAATAAATGAAAGAAAAAAGGAGAAGAGAAGATTTTCCCTTGTTGATAATAGTTTCTTTTTATGGATCCATCATTTTATTTTCGATTATAGAAACTTTTATATAAAATATATCTGATTGATAATTGCTTTTTCGATTTATTTTCATTTTTTTATTTTTCATCTTTTTTTCAAATAATTATATTTAAAAGAATTTTTTTATTGAACCATATATTGATGTTTTCAATAAGATAAACAAGAAAGAAATATAAAAAATAAAAATATTCTAATTAATTGTTTACCATTTATGAAAGAAATTATTTTAATTATTTAAAAGCATATTATATATGAAAAACCTTTTTTTTTCCTATAACTTCTTAATGATTCGATTAAATAATGAGATAAATTGATTTTAAATTTAAAATAATAAAGAAATTTTATTATTGAATGATTTGTTAAATCAGATGATTAAACAATTTATTTAAATAATTAGCTTTTTATCAATATGAAATAAGTAAAGATTAAGAAAGATGCAAAATGAAACGAATAAAATTTGAAGATTAATTAGAAAAAAGTGATTTGTCAAAACTAACCAGATTGATATCTTTCGATTCTTTTTTTCAACTTGAAATATTCTCTTCTTATCTTTAATATTATATTTAATCTGATTATTTATTTCTAAATATGATTAAACAAAGATTATTTTCAATTTCTTTCTTAAATAATTCTAACGGAATTTCATTCACAATCATGAATATAAAGATGTTCACTTGTTCGTATAGCTATTTTATCTTGACCCCAATCAACGATATTAAATGGTTTTGTTGGATAAAAAATCGTTTTATCAATTATTCCACTATTAGATATTTTTAAAAATCTATTATTATATCCATCCACTACTATCCAATCGGAATTATTATAAGGAGAACATCTATAAGACCATCCTTGACCAAGATAAATTGAATAAATTGATTGAAAAGATTCAATTGAACGAAGTTCAAGACGACTTTTATTAATAATATCATTGTGAATAATTAATCCAAGATAAAGATAATTTGATTTGATATCATTAATTATTTGATTATGTTGACAAATAAATGATGTTTGCCATCGTCTATTTAATTGAATAGATGGTAAAAGATAATATTCAATAATAAAAGGATATTCTCCAAATGTTGAAATAAATAAACTTCTATCTGAACATGTTCCATGTTCCCAACGATAATTATTTATTAAATTAATTGAAGATAATTCAAGTGAAGTTAATTTTTGATCAAGAGTATAGATATTTATTGGTGATATTAAAATAAATCGAGAAAGAATTTTTGACCAACAAATATCTTTTATTCCAATTTGAAAAAAAGATTTTTTCTTAACTATTTTAAAAGATTTATCAATTAAATATAAATTCGATTTTTCCGATAATAATAAATATGTTTCATTTATAGATAATGAATACCAATTATCATATTGAAATTTAATAGATTGTTTTGCTGATTTTAAATAAAATCTTGATTCATTTTCTGATTGATTTTTTATTATATTTGATGATGATAATATATAAGATGTTTGACAATTTGTTGATGAACTAGAAAAAAGATCTTTTAATGGTGAGAGATTTTTTTCTATATGAGATATTCCATCAGGAATATCAATTATTGAATTATCTATTTTTAATGGAGAATATTTTGAATTAAATTCTTTAAATTGATCAAGTTGTTGATTAATTGATTGAATTCTATATTTAACCCAATCAATATAATCTTTTGATGCATCACAATCACAAGTTAATGAATAAACAAATTCTTCTGATTGATTTATTTCTTCTTTTATTATTTCAATATATTGATCATATTTTAATTTACAATATTTATTAATTATTTCATGAGCTTGATTACGCCATTCTTCCAAATTTTTTACAAATTTTGTTTCATTTATTTGAAATTTGTTAAGTCGATCAGAAACTTGATCAATATCATTCTTTATACATAATGATTCATCTTTGCATTGATCAGAATCTTCTTTTAAATGATAAATAGATATTTTTTCTTGAGAACAGTTACATTTATTTGTTGATTCTATTAAACATCTATTGGGAATACATAATTCATTTGACAATTCCATTTTATATTCCTATGAAACAAAACAAAAAAAATCACTTCAAATCGATCCTTTCTAAAAATAAGTAAAAAGAATTTTTCATTTATTTGAAAAAAAACGTTCAAATAAGAAGAATTCATTCGCTTTTTTTTTTACTATTCTCCAAGTTATGAAATGCGTCGAACAGCATTATTTAACAAGTATTTCTTTGATTGATCAATGTTGCAATTCTGGATGAGAACAACAAAATAAAAAAAAAGCATATAGAAGAGACTCGATAGAAATCGAATGAAACCATTGAGATGCTTCTCTCATTTACATATATACAGAATTATTAAACTAATGTCGCATTTATATTTATTTATTCTCATTCAACTAAACAATATTCTTTATTTATCGATCATAAAACATTCTTTATGTTTTTTCAATATTAAATTTTAAGATCGATTTAGTTAGTCTCTTGTCACTAACTAAATACTTATTCTCTTTATTTTGACTATCTCTCCTTTAAAACTACTCGACATAAAACAATAATACAAACTATACCCAACTCGATCAAAACTAACGTAACATCGACTTATTTTCAACGTTTTTTTCTTTATAGATCGATAGTTCAATCTCATATTCATATTCTCATAGACTAAATATGAGAATACTCAGAGAATGAGCCTATTATCAGCCTTTGTTTCTAAGAATTTGTCAGAATATATTGGAATATCTTTCGTATACTCTTATATAACTGTGACATTAATTCGTTGTTTGTCTAATCGAAGTCAATGCCTTTTATCATTATATCGCATTTTTGAGTAATTTCCTACGTAACAAGTCTAAAACAAGGTAAACATCAATGAAATTCAAATCATCCTCGACATTTTTTGTGGAAACAAACCAAAAGTAGGAAAAACAGCACTAGAAGAAAACTACAAAACTTATACAACAGTCATATTAGAGTCTATACGAAACATTTATATATTTATCAACAAATCCCTTTAGCCAAAGGCTAATAATAGGCTCTTTATCTGGGTATTATCATCTAGTATACGTGCTTCAAATATAGAGAAAAAAAGGTTGAGAAGAAGTCCGTGTTAGGTTAGTTTTGGTCCACTCTCTATATAATAGTGAGACATAAGGTAAGAAGATAAGTCGGTCTAGTCACCAATCGAGAGATAAAACAAAAGAAGAAAGAAAGGTAGGGCTCGGAGATATCGGCACTACCTAACAGTTTTAATTGATAAAATTGGTAAAGAGATAGAATCAATAAGAATTTTATTAAAAAAAAGTCAAACATCTCTTTTTATTGATTGATCTCAATCATGTTTTAAGTTTGGAGAAAAATAATAAAAAGAAGAATTCTATGTTGAGAATATGAGAATATTTTGTTTTTATCTTACTAAAATAATCAGAAAGAAAAAGAAATTTTTGAAAGTTTATTAAATTGAAATATTTTATTGTTATTTTCAATAAGAGTATATTTGTGTATCTTTATCTTTTGATAATATTTTATGAAATTAACCTTAAAGAGAAGATTATTTTGAAATATTTCGATAGAATATTCTATTATTTTACATAAATATATTTTATTTAATATTTATAATTCAATTGATTATTTGAATTTTTTCATAATCGATTCTCTTTTAAGTAGACGAGAAGTTAAATAATAGAAAAAAGATTTTCTTGAAAAAAAAATGAATTATATTTAAATCTATTATTAATTAATATATATTTCAGTTAAGAATATTTTTTTTTTCTTAATTATTATCTTTTAAATTCATTGAAAATTTTATCTTCTTTTAGAAGAATTTATTTTCATTTTTATTCATTATTTAACTAAATCACTATAAATAGTTCTTATAACGAATACAACAATAATTCTCTTGTTTTTATTTATTTTTTATATAACCTTCCTATGAAAATTTCTCGAGACTTCATTGATGTTTTTTGTTTAAAAAAAAAACAAAATATCTACTGCAAAATTATATAAAATAATTTTATGAAAAAAAATCTTTCTACAAAGTGAGAAAAATCTTTGAAGAAAAACTATCGGGAAAATGTGCACAAATTGTGTCTGAATATCATGTTAAGAGTATGTTAGAAGATCTTGATTCGATGACAGATCGAACCGGTATCACTCGTGAAAAATTTCGATCGATTCGATCTGTGTATTGCGTATCCTCCTGATAATTGTCTCAGTAGATGATCACTTACCATATACTTATCCAGTTTCTATATGATTTTATCAAAATATTTTTCAACAAGTTAATAAATCGAAAATTTGAAAGTATTTTAGATAGGTTTCGGTTTTATTTGATAATAATAGGAAAATGATTTATTTAATTAAATAAAATCTCAACAAAGAAACGAATATAAAAAAAAACGAAATAAATAAATAAATGAATTTTAGTTTTAGAAAAAAAACATGAAACATTCATAGATAAAATCTGAAAATGATTTGTAAAATGGTGATTATATTAAATTTACAGAAATAAATAAAAAATAAAATAATGATAAATCATTTTCTTTTTTTGTATTAATTATTGTTTATAATAAGAAGATTTTCATAAAATAAAATAAAAAAAATTTTTTTTTATTAATAATCTTGATTGGTTGAATAACTAATCAGGATCTGTATTCCTCATATGACGATAAAATGGATATTGATGTGTTTTTATTGTAATATCATCATATTGATTATTTTTCGTAAATCGTTTTAAACGTGAAAATCTTATATGATCATGATTAGACAATGTTATATCATTATTAGAAATATTCGAAGATGAATACGATGAAAAAGAACGATCATTATTTATCGATTGATTAGAATTATTTCTTTTCTGACTATTCAAATTGTCATTAACTCTTGTCTTATCTTTTAAATGATTTGATTGAGATGTTGTTGATACATTTAAATTTTGTTGATGTTCTTCTTCTGAAACTTTCCTATTATCGATTGATGTTAACATTGGTAATATATATTCATCTTTTATATATTCTAATCCAAGTTGACTTCCTCGATAATGAATCCACTCGGCCATAGAAACGATTAAATCTCGAGCATAAACTTTTTCTAGCCAATCTTTGGGTATTTGTTTATATCCATAGTATGCACCAGCTAATTGACAATAAATAGCAGCTGTTGTATCAGTATCATCACCAAGATTAACAGCAGCAAGAGCGCCTTTTTCAAATGAATCATTATCAGACCAAAAAGCCCATAGAGCAGCTTGAAGAGCACTAACAATATAACCTTTACCTCTAATACCTTGTTCATATCCACCTTTTTTATATGATCCTTGACAAATTTCTAATATATCATTATGTAAAGACTCTTGACCAAACCATAATCGATGTTTTGAATAAAAATTGTTATCAAGTAATTCTTGTTTATGATAACCATAAAGAGCAGCAATAATTAGTGCTGCATAATAACGACATGCATCAATTGCTTTTTTATTTGCATGAGTAAGATAAGCACTACGAGCAGAATATTCAATTGCATATTCAGGATTTTTAAAGTAGAATAATGGTACAGGAGCAAGACGCATAAGAGCTCCATTTCCAGCTGAATCTTTATCACCACAATTTATATTAAAATCATTAATACGTTCAACAGAATCTAATGATAATCTATCAACTTCATATTCTGAACGACAACGATAATAGATTTTAAGAATTTTTTGTCGTTGAGAAAATTCTGAAATAGATTGACGAGTTGCTTGTCCAATATCAAAACAATGTCCTGTAGATGATAAATATCCATATTTATGCCACCATTTATAACGAACCATTTGATCATAAGGATTAAAACAATTCTCAGTTATTAATGATGAAGCAAGACATAATGCCATAGATGTATCATCTGTCCATTTACCGGCTTCAAGACCCCATGTACCTCCACCTTCCATTTTACGAACTGGATTAGCTGATAAATATTGTTGAGGACGAAATTCTACACTAGCTCCAAGTGCATCACCAATAGCAAGACCTAGAAGAGAACCAATTATTCGATCACATACTTCATCTTTTTCATGATATGAAGGTGTTTTATCCAATTTAATATTATGTGGAAGAACTTTTTCATTTGGTGATGGAAAATTGACCATGATATATGTCAATTACAATTGTTTATTTTATCTAAAAAAGGATATATTAGAATTTGGAAAAATCCAAAGATTCGATTGATTTATTCTATATATTTTATGAATTTAAGTTTAATATATATTGATAAACTTGAAATAAATAAATCAAAATAGATATTTTTTATTTTATTTTATTAAATGAGAAATAAAATAAAAGGTCTTTAAAGATAATGTTTATTTATCATTTGTCAATATTAAATAATTCCTTTTTATTAATTTTGATATAATAAAAAAGCAAAGAATGTCAATTATTTAAATCTAATGTCAAATTCTACCTCTATTATTTATTAATAGTAGACTTTCGGATGTTCGATTCCCATTGTTCTCCTTCATAAGCAATCCATTTCGATAATGTTTTCAGAAATTTATGTGCATAAACATGATCGAGCCATTTTTCTGGTAGATTTTTATATCCATAATAAGCGCCAGCTAGTTGACCATAAATAGCAGCTGTTGTATCAGTATCATCACCAAGATTAACAGCAGCAAGAGCACCTTTTTCGAACGAATTATCATCAGACCAAAAAGCCCATAATGCAGCTTCAAGAGCTTTGACAATATAACCTTTTCCTCTAATACCTTGTTCATATCCACCCTTCTTTTTATATGATCCTTCAGCAATTATTCGAATTTCTTTATCTAATTCTTCTTTACCAAACCAATGTTTATGTACAGAATAAAAATTCTTAGCTAATATTTGTTCTTTTTTAAATCCACGAAGAGCAGCAACAATTAATGCACCATAGAATCGACAAGCATCATAAGCCTTTTTATCACCATGAGTTATTTGTCCACTTCGACCAGAAAATTCTATTGCTGTATATTTATTACGATAGAAGAATAGAGGTACTGGAGCTAGACGCATTAATGCTCCATTACCAGCAACATTTGATTCACTACAATATACATCGAATTCATTAAGAAGTTCAACATCTGATAATTGATCCAGTTTTTTAAGTGGAAGAGATTTTTCTTTTGCAAAACAACTTTGACGACGTTCAAATTCCCTTAATGATTGACTAGTAGCTGCACCTATATCAAAACATTGTCCAGTCGATGACATATATCCAAATTTATACCACCATTTATAACGAACTAATTGATCATAAGGAATAAAATCCCGACGAGCCAATAATGAATTAGCTAAGCAAAGAGCCATCGATGTATCATCAGTGAACTACGAAAATTTAAACAAAACATTTTTTTTTTTCTTACAGAAAAAAATTATTCGAAAATAGTTATTATATTCATAAAATATAATATCAATTCATATTTCATATAATAACATACCATTTAAGACCAAACTTTTATATAATAAATAAATAAATAACATTTCATTTTACTATCGAATTACATATATATCTCTAGTCACAGTCAATTTCTTAACGTCTTTTTTCATTCGAAATTACCAAACTAATAGTACCTAAGAATAAACAGACTTTTCATGCACTTCAATTATTGTTCTATATTAGTTATAAATACAATTAGGACACTAGAGCTCACCAGAGAATACCACCAAATGATAAAAACATTTTCAAGTCATATTTTGTCCATAGATGGTAGGAACTGATTAGACTAGAAAAAACCCAAAAAGGATAAGTCCCCATAGACCTTCCTTCTGGAGCTATGACTGGTTTACTGAGTTTTCGATCTATAGTAACAGAGTTAGAAAAAAAATCGAATCACTAAATTCTTGAGTTGAAACTTTGTCCACGTGTAGGATCTATGCTCCTTAATATGCGGTAAAAGCTTTAAACGAAAAGGGATCTTTCTTTCTCGAGATAATCAATATATAAGAAAAATCATTTTTTCTCAGTTCTCTGTCAAATGTGGACACTTATTTACAATTGATTATCTCAAGAAAGAAAGATCCATTTTTGTTTAAACTTTTACCGCATATTAACAATCATGGCTCCTAAATATGGCCAAAATTAAATTATTCGATTTTTTTCTAAATAGGTTCCCATGGACCGAAAACCCAGTAAACCAATCATAGCCCCAGAAGGAAGATCTATGGGAACTTATTCTTTGGCCTTTTTCTAGTCTGACCAACTTCTACTTATGGACAAAATATAAGTTGAAAAGCTTTTAATCAGTTGGTAGGTTTCCCTTATCAGTTGATAAGGTCTTTGGCACGTATTGTCAACGGTAGTGTGTTCGATTTTCGAAATAATTAGACATGAAAAGATGATGGAGAGGTGATTAAAGAATCTTTCTCTCGAATGAAGGTTATGATAAAATCAAAACTAGATTGTAACAAATATCGATCTTTGTCAGTAATATGAATTTAGAGGGTGTATAAACAAAGGTCGACTGATTGAGCGAAATAATTGTGAATATAATAAGTATTCTGTTGATAGGTATAGCCAGGGGTGGCGCGACCGGGGGGTAGTCGGGGGTGCGACACCCCCCCCCCAATCTTCAAAAATTTCTGTTTTTTTGCTCAACAAAATCAGGAAATTTTCTTCCATTTGTCACCAAAAACAATGTTACACCCCCCGAAAAATTGCAGACTTCGTCTTTCTAGTCCAAAAAATTTCGCTACACCCCCCCAATGTTGGTTGACTCGCGCCACCCCTGGGTATAGCTAGAAATTATTCAAGGAAAATATATTCGATAAATAAAATTGTTCTTGAATAGAATTCAATGCTCGACGATAGCTAAAATGGTAATGTCTTATTATTATTGTTACTTAAAAAATAAGAATGAAATCGTTTGATAAAAAGTAAAAAGAGAAATTGTTGTTTATTTTATCATATACTTAGGGCATACCAAAAGTACTGGCAGTGACACTTTAATACCCTATAGTAGACTTTAAGAAACTTTCTTTCTATATAGTCTGATAGAGAAAAAAATGCTCTATCTTTCTATACTATTTGATCGTACTTCAGCTAATCTCATAATATTAAATTATCCATAAAACCTATTTCGGCTGATTATGTGCTGGTTGTACTAGATTACAACGTGTGAGACCAGACTAGTTTTCAATCCCTCAAGACATTGTATGAACAACCAAAATATACCATAAGATGCAGCGTGAAAAGCTCTACAATTTACATAAGGCCATTTATTTTATAGCTGCACTTTTTGCTTTCAAAATCGATAAAGTTTTGAGGGATCAAATTTTTGGTATTGAGAAAATTGGTCGCATAGAATTTTCCTTTTTTTGAAAACAATTACAATAAGCTTTACTGTATAGATTGTAGAGCTTTTCACGCTGCATCTTGTGGTATATTTTGTTTTTCTTTTGGTAAAGCATATCAGGTGATAAACAATCAAATAACAAAAATGAATTCGTTGTGTATCGAAAACATTGTCTTTTTCGCATCTTCACAATTTGATTGCTCCAAATTTTGTCGATTTCGAAAACAAAAATTGCAGCTATAAAATAAGTGGTCGTATGCAAATTGTAGAGCTTTTCACGCTGCATCTTATAGTATATTTTGGTTATTAATACAACTAGTAAGAAATCGAAAACTGCAATGCAAAACTTACAACCAGCATATAACCAGCCGAAATTGGTTTTATAGATAATTTAATACTATGAGATTAGTTGAAGTACGATCAAATGGTATAGAAAGATAGAGCATTTTTTTCTCTATCAGACTATATAGAAAGAAAGTTTCTTAAAGCCTACTATAGGGTATTAAAGTGTCACTGCCAGTACTTTTGGTATGCCCTAAGTAAATATAATTGAGAGTAAAAATTATTTGTTCGTTTAAAAATTTGAAAATGATTATATTTATTGTAAATAAAGATGAAATTGCGCATACCTGTCCTTTTTGAAGACCCCAAGTCCCTCCTCCTTCGAGATCTCTTACTGGATTATTTTTCATATATTCGTATGGTCGAAATTCTACATGTGCTCCAAGAGCATCACCTAATGCCATTCCGATAATGGATCCTTGAATACGATCTAATAATAATTGATCGATTTTACCAAATGGATCTTCCATTTCATTTTCCAATTCATTTGGTTTTTTAATTTGGTTTGTGTCAATGTGTTGATCATTTGTATTTGTATCAGTTTGACGCCATTGGATATTGAGCCACTTCTTATCTAGATATATTATTATTATTATTATTATTATTATAGAAATCAATTATATTATATATTTCAATAGTAAATAAGTCTATTCTATATTTAAAATACTCGAAAAGAAAAATCTTATTTGTCAATTTAAAGTCTACATTGATAGAAACTAAATTTATTTAAAATTGATTTAATAAATATATAGATTAACTTTTAAAAAAAAAACTCGTATTGTAAATGATCAAGTTATGAATGATATAAGCTAATAAAATATTGATTTCTATATCTGTTTAGTTAATATAAAGATTGAATCAGAGTGAATTGGAGATAAATATATCTATTTGTAAAAATTCAAATAGAATAAATAGATTTTGAAAAAAAAAACTAGTCAATGATAATTTAAAAAATCTTCTTCTAATATTTGATGATGAAAATAATAAAAACTAAAAATGTAGTTGACTAACCTGCACAAAATTGACACGATGGATGATCATTATTTGAATTATCATATTGAAAATATTCTGAATTATTCTCATCAATATTCTCTTCTTTTAATATTAAACTAACTGGTATTCGTCCACTGCCTAAACAAAATCAAAATATAATAATTAAATTTTAAAATAAATAAAAAAGGTTTCAACCGATATATTGAGTGTCTATATTTGGTCGATGTGAATGTTGTTCATCTATCGAAAGATGATCGAAATCTTCAGTTAATTTAACTTGATTTTGTTTATCTTGTGAAGAAATGAATTCTGGATTAGATTTATTATCTTGTTGATTAAGATGAAAAGATGAATTTGAATTATTATTAAATATTGTTTCTTCCTCATTTGAAGATGAATGAAATGATAATTGTTTATCATTATTTAATTTATTTGTATCATAACGATGAGAAGATATTGGAGATTTAATTTCTGTTTCATTTGAATTATTATCAACTCGAAAATTATTCAAAGAATTCGATTTTTTTTTATCATTTTTTATTGAATCATTTTCATTATCTCTCGATTTATTATTTAAAACATGTTCAGGATAAAAAGATGATTTCATATTAGATTTATTGTCTTCTGTTTCGTTTGACATAAATAATTTTTCTTCTTTTTTTCTTATTTGTTAAATATAAAATGAAGTTTATCTAAATAATAGATAATAATAAATTAAAATCAAATTGAAATTAAATCTCAAAAAATATATTCATAAATCGATAAAAAATAAAACTGATTTTGTTTTCTATTGTGTCTTACATGTTGCTAGGGGTTCGTTGCTACTACACAACATTCTTTGTTTCTTTTTCTGTTCTTTTTCTTCTTTCTTTCTTTCTTTCTCTCTCTTTTTTTTCTTTTACCAAGAGAGAAAATTGTTAACAACAAGAGTGCATTAACATTTACGTGTTTAAAGCTAAAAAGGAAAAAGACTGAAGACAACTAAAAACAGTCTTTAACAACATCCGAAGAGAAAGAAAAAACAAATAAGAGGAGACATTATTTGATCTTTCCGCGAAAAAAATTGTTAAACGAACACGTGAAAAAATGAATCGTTACTATAACGATGATAAAAAGAGTTTGTTTTCCATATTTCAATGCACATTAATTATAAATAGAGATTATTAAAAGTTGAGACCAAAATAAATCTAATATCTATCGATTGATATTTATCATTTTATTTATTTTGAGTAAACAACTTAGATAGAATTATCTATCATTTATAGAAATAAATATATGTTTACAACTTTTATTTTTGTCCTAAATAAATTTTTTTTTGTTACTTTTTTCAAAGAATAATTAAAGAAAATAAATTCTATAATAAAAACATATTATTTATTATTTTTCTACTCATTTATATTAAATGTGCGAAGATCGATTTTAATTTGACTATTAAAAGAGTAACATTTATTAAGATCTTCGACAAACAAACAAACAAACAAATAAATAAATTTATTTGAATTTCAAAAGAATATATCTTGATTAACTTTATTTTAATAATTATTATTATTTAAGAAATTTTTCAACTTTTATTTTATTTATTAAGAATAATCGTTATAATAACCAATTAATTATCAGACAAACATTTTTTTGGTTTAACTTATTAAAAAAATATTCAATTTTATTTATCTAGAAGAAAAATCATTAATTATAAATATATTTTTAATCAAACTTTTCTTTTTTTTCAATAATCAACCATTTTCTTTTTTATAATTTTAAAATAATAGATTATCAATTTATGATTAAAATTTAATAAAAATAAACACAATTCAATCAGGAGAATATATTTGTTTTCTATATATATTTATATAAAAAATTATTCTTTGAAAAATATCCTATTTTACATCTCATCTATTTTATCTAATTTTACTCAATAGAAAAATCAGTTTGAATTACAAGATATAGTTACAGGTTTTGTTTTTCCTAAAGGTTAATATCATTTTTCATATTTACTGAAGAACTTCTGCTTGTGTACTTAAATAACGAGTAAATTATCGTTTTTTTAATCTACTTGTGATATGATTTTAAAGAAAAATGATTCTCTTATTTTAATATTAATTCTAGAATTATCATATCCTCATAAGATAAATCTAGATTAAATCAATCCCCTCCTCACAAAGACGATTAATCATTTTCTTTTTTTCCAGTCAATCTTTTTTCACAACAATCAGTATTTATCTATTTTCTTTAAAAAAAAATCACATTTATCTTCAAATATTTTCTTATTAGTTATTGATTTTTTTTTTATCTCTAAAAACATTTGATTTATCAAGGAGAATTATCGATAAGATCACGTTTTTTTTTTCTCTAAGAGATTTTTCAAAAGAGAAATATTATATTCACAATCACCTTCAAATTCTAATTAAAATCATCAATTTTTTTTCTCTATCAAAAAACGACTTTTATTTCTCAACTGCTTTTTTGTCACGCTCAAACGGTCTCAGGGCCATTGAAAATCTTTATTGTATTTTCAAATTCTCTTCATTTATTTATAATAACATTCGCAATTCAATGATCATTTGAAATATTTTATTTAAATTTGAAGAAAATGAAATTCTATATTGAGGGAAGAAAAACCAATTTTAATATAGAAAACAAATCTATGATCACTTCAGATTGTCCTTGCTATCCTATTTATTAACGTCATTTAAAAAGCCTAAAATATAGATGACATATCTATTCAATTCCATTTACAATCAGAATAATAGAAAACAAACGGTTCAAAATAGAAATGAACGGGCCAGCTAAAAAGTGACACCGACACTGCTACGTCACCGTCGTATCTTATCAAAATAATTTAAAAGGCGAATTTTTTGAAAATTTTTCGAAGATCTACCTTAAATAGATATTGTTGGAAATAGGCATACATTTTATCAATCGGATTTGATTTTAACTAGATTCAAACAATTGTCATTAACGGTGAGATTTTCCTCTTAATTTACTTTAAGCTTTTTTATTTTTTAGAATTTATTTTTAAATTTAATAAATTTTTATAAATGTAAAATGATCATCCCTAATTCTTATAGTAATAGATTTTCATAGAAGCAAGATTATTCGGCGGATTTAAACATAAATCGTTTAAGATTACTAGAAAATACGACTAGGAATAACTGAATTTCATCACTTACCTTGCCATTGAAACAATCACAAAAGCCCTGAATTATTATTTTCACTTTGGCTAATTTCTTTGCCTGTCTCTCATTTCAGGCTCTATTATATAATGCTTTAGATCATTCTACATTCATTCATCAGCAATTGTCCTTTCTACATTTCTACCGTATGAGATCATCAAAATAGATGATGTTAACTGAGAAAAACACAAAAAATCTACCGTCATCTTACTGATTTCGGATGTATTTCTAATTCTAAACAGCTATCGGCCAAGACATACTGCACTTTACATGGATCAATATAATGATCGGATATTTTTCTGTTGCATATAAAGAAATACGATAATTTACTAAGATGAATATATGACTGGTTACTAGGTATACACTAAACCAAAGTGTTCGAGTTCAAGTTTGGACTTGACTACTGCTATTTGCAGTTTCTCAATAAAATGAAATCGAACTAAGCCAAGAGAATGGGTTTTAGTTTTGCCTATAGGATATCTTCGTAAGATTCTAGGAAATCGATCAAAATTTGAATTACTGCACAAATCCTTAACATAAATCAACAGTTTCTAGAAAAATCCGAACCCGAACTCGATCGAACTTAAAGTACTACAGTTATTGCTCGCATACCTCAAGTAACACTTGGGTTATCGTCTAAATGATGATCACTGTCTGAACGAGTTGGGTAGTTTCCGAACCTCAATCTGAACCGTTTGATTAGAACTGCGACCTCTAGTATAGGTTATTTCTATGTTTATTACTTACAATGGAGGTATATGTGTGTTGATAAGTGAAAAGATGGCACATATTCGGGTCAAATGAAAACTCTCACCACCAAACTAACAAGGTTAAAGTATTAGCGACTGTTGGCTTGCCTAGAGGGAGATATTTAGATTTTAAATTTAGGTACAAAAATGAATGAGGAAGGGTTTTCTCCACTATTATAAGGACAAAACATAGTGCTGTTGGGGGCGATTATGGAGTTTGTAGAGTCCCCCTTTCATATGGCCTGAACAACACTATGTTCTGCTCTTATAATAGTAGGGTGAATTTTTCTTGTACCTCATGGAAACAGTTTTTTTCTATCAACCACTAGAAAAATTCAATCCGCTATTATAACGACAAAACATAGTGTTGTTCGGAGCGATTATGGGGTTTGTAGGGTCTCTCTTTCAAATGGCTCCAGCAACGCTGTGTTTTATCCTTATAATAGCGGATTGAATTTTTCTAACGGTTCATAAGAAAAACTGTTTCCATGAGGTGCAGGAAAAATTCACCCTACTATTATAAGAGCAGAACATAGTGTTGTTCAGGCCATAGGAAAGGGGGACTCTACAAACTCCATAATCGCCCCCAACAACACTATGTTTTGTCCTTATAATAGTGGAGAAAACCCTTCCTCATTCATTTTTGTGTACTCAAAAAGTGAGTACACTCTAGAATCGGTCAGTGTGTCCGGCCGTCCGGCCGGCCGTCCGGCCGTTAACACGATAACTTTTGAAAGGAGAGTCCGATCACGATGAAATTTTCTACACAGTTTAGTCTTAACAATATCTCGGTCGAGTTCGAAGATGAGCATGATCGACCGAGCCATTCGTGAGTTATTGCAAAAATAGTCATTTTTCCCTATGGCTTCCTATGCGAAAATCGACCGATCCCAGCTTTCGTAAACAACTTTTCCTATCATAGTTAAATAAAACCCCAACTATTATATACCATTCGATAGAGAATTTCACGAGCTACAAAATGGTATATAAAACATAAAGAAACAAGAAAGCTAACTCACCTATTGCAAAGATAATTAAACGGAATTTGGTTTTGTTCTTGTCCACGCTCTAATTGATCTACAATTAGAGCTCTATCTTCCGATCATACAGATGATAGTTCGAGGTTTTCTGGGGTGGAGAACTCGAATATGTGCTCCATTCGCCTCGAAATTCCATTGGTTGAGCAGTAACCAATAGCAATCAAGTTATAGGAAAAAAGACTTTCTTAGGGTAAATCAAGACGAAGAGTTCAAATCTGAGCTGTATTTACCCCAAATCCTATTGGTTGAGCAGTAGCCAATAGAAATCAAGTGTTTATAGAAAAAGTTTGCCAGGATAATTTTTATGTCTCCACATTCTAGGATGACTCATCTGCCTCATTCACTTTTTGAAGTACACATAACTCTCGGATTTAAATCCGAGGTTTCCACATTTATTGTACCTAAATTTAAAATCTAAATATCTCCCTCTAGGCAAGCCAACAGTCGCTAATACTTTAACCTTGTTAGTTTGGCGGTGAGAGTTTTCATTTGACCCGAATATGTGCCATCTTTTCACTTATCAACATACATACTTCCATTGTTAGAGAAAAAAAGCGTGATCTTATAAATAGTCTTCGTTTAAGTCGCATTTGATATTGAACAAAACTGAAATAAGATTTTAAGAAGATGAACTTTATGTATTTGAAAATGAGAATTGTTTATACACGTAAAATAAGTTTTAAGAATAGATGAAGAAATTTGTTCATTAGTTCAAATGAAAATGTTTATTATCTATTAAATAAATATATTTGTTCAAGCTAATTAAACACGATTTTGTGTCATTATTGATGCATTAATAACACGAGTTTTCTTTGGCCATATTTCAGATAAACAAGCAATACAGACAAATGGGATTAGAAGTTGAACAAGATATGGTGTATAATATAAATAATAATAAGTTATTTCATCAATAAATGTTGGAATAAAATAAATACGAATTAATGATACCAATGCCAATGGAAACCAAAATAATAAATAAAGTATTGAAATAGACATTAATTGCAGTGTTAATTTTCTTGTTGATCGCCAATTTACTGTTCGTTTCATTTTCTTAGTTCGAATTAAAACTCTGAATAATAAAGCAATACTCGCTAATGGTATTAATAATGATGGAAATAAAATATTTGTAATCCAATCAAAAGTTGATAACCAAGTAATACTATTATAACAAATGGGACCACAAAGAAGTGATGTATAATCAAAAAAATTTTCACACGGATAAATAACAATACATATAAAATAAAAACTAGGAATATATGCAATAGAAATAAATAATGGTATATAATTCCATTTTATTTTTCCAATATTTGTTTGAATCCAATTTGAATGAAATATTAAAATATGTCGTTGAAAAGAAGTCCATGTCATTAAAAATAAATTTGTTGATTGAAGAGAAAAATTATACCAAATCCAAAATAAACAAAAACTATTTGAATTTGGTTTAACATAACCAACACGAAGAAATTCAAGTGTTATTGGTAATTCGGATGTTGTATTTAAAAATGATATTATTATTAATCCTATTATTGAATGATTATTTATATGAGAACGAAAGTGACGATTAGTTACAAATTTATATATAATATAAATTGATATTAATATTGATGGAATTTCTATTGATGCAAATAAATATAATTTAATGCGACGATAAAGTTCTGGTTCAGAAGATTGTGATGATTCGTTTTCTGTTTGATTCATCTTATCAATAAATTTATTTCAATATTATTATTATATTTATATTCAAATGATAAAATATCAAGAGATTTTTATATTCTACTTGTTCATCCGTTTTATTTAAACTAACTTTGCTTATTCAAGAATTCTTTCTGAATAGAGTCTTTTTTTTTTATGATGATGGTTTCTTTTTCTCTTTACTATCTACTAATTGACATATAGATTATCACTTGTTATTATTTTCATAATCAAAACAATTTTATTTCTTTTTCCGCATGTAAACCTTTACAAGTCTATTTGTATTTATTCCAGTTGAAAATTTATTCTTATGCTACTATTCTTCTCTATACATAAAAACATTTTTAATAAAATTTACGCATATACGAGCTATTCAGCATCAATAATAACATAAAACTACATTAAAAATACGCAAAAATAAAAAAACTTTT